GACAGAGTCTCGTTCTGTCGCCCAGGTTGGAGTGCAATGGCATGATCTCGGCTCACTGCAACCTGTCCCTCCCAGGTTCAATCAATTCTCCTGCCTCAGCCTCCCAAGCAGCTGGGATTACAGGCACCTGCCACCATGCCCGGCTAATTTTTGTATTTTTAGTTGAGACAAGGTTGGCCAAGTTGGCCAGGCTGGTCTTGAACTTTTGACCAGGGTGATCCACCCACCTTGGCCTCCCAAAGTGCTGGGATTACAGGTGTGAACCACCACGGGCCACCGACAATTAAAGTGCTCTTCGTGCTTTTTCTTTAGTACCAGTGCATACTGTGTATTTATTTTTATTATTCCACTTACTAAACTATAGGTTAGTAATCAATTTTAGTACCTATCAGACTGTAAGCTCCTTGAGGACAAAGAGTTTGCATATTTCCCTTCTTGAAGACCTAACACGGTATCACCAAGTTCTAGAAATGAGTAACATCTGTCCTATTAAAAACCAATAGCATTCGTAAATGTAAACCTAAACTTACTGCATTAGAGCATTGACAGATTTGCAATCAACAATCAGTATTTCATTCAATTTTAAATCGTTAATACTATTTAAAATACGATATAACAATAGTACTCACTTTAGATAGGAAATCAACTAGAACTAGGCTATTGACAGGAGCATCAAGGCATAGGCCAAAGTAAGAAACACAGATTTGCAACACTTCCATATGTGTTTTGAACACTGACATACCATGTAGCAACAGAAATAATTGTCACTTTAGATGGAAAAATGCTAATGACCAATCATTTCTAATACTAGATTGGATACCTTTCCGTATAGGGACCATACTATTCCACATTCTCCAACATGGATCCTGCATCCATCCAAGGTACTACCCTATCCCAATCCACCATCACTCCTTGCCTGGAGTATTTCAATAGCTTCTTAACAGGTCACCAGACTTCCACACTGTTCCCACACAGCCCCTCCCTCTTGCCACCGGCTGTAACCTCAGACTGAAATGCTCTCCCCTCTGATCTTTCGGGCCACTCCTCATCCTTCACATCTTGGCTTAAAAACCTTTTCTCAAGGAGATTTTCATTGACCAGCCTATCTAACATTTCCTGACGATTCCCCAGTCATATCACCTATTTTATTCTTCTTTACGAACTCATTTTTGGCTCGTAAACGTTCAATAACTAATTTCTGGTCGTAACTTGTACAGAGCACTTTCCCGGATTTAAAAAGTGCAGGTGCTCTGGCACCTTAACTCGGTGAAAACAAGAGTATTCCGCAAAACAAAAGTAACTGTTTACTTATCAAAAGTTACCGTTACACTTCTATGCTGTCAATTCGTGTGTGAACAGAGTTGTGCCTGATTCAAGATCTTACAGTATAAGCATTAGATCCCAAGAACGTGTAAACGTTTTGTTATTCGCAATGCAACCCTGGGCTAACTTTTCAAAAGTCCTTTTTCTCAATTTCCCTGTCAGTGAAAGGAATAAAATGCTGTCCAACGCGGTCAATGGACAAAACGAAGTCAACAGAGGCGTGAACGAAAACAACAGCGACTAAACAGACACTGTACCAGGTGTGTGGAAATCTGGGGGGACAGGATCGGTCTTAGGGCCTAAGCCATCGGACACTAGTTCTCTCCTTGGGAACAAAACGTCCTCCTCCTGAGAGGGGAATGTCCTGAATTTTCCCTGCAGAGGAAAGGTCGCCTGCAAGCGTGCGTTCGGGCCAGAGTTCCCAAGGGTCCCCTGATCCTCCTCTTCCTTTCTGCTTCATCATACCAGACTCAGTGGCTAAAAGCCCCCACCTGCCGCTTCTCAAGGGCTTCTGAGGTGGCGGAGCGGGAGGCGGCGCCCAGTCAAGGACAAGAGAAGAATAAGTCGCGTGGGCCAAAGGAAACAGTCCCGTCAAGAAATAAATCGCTGGCCGACGCATCTCACCCTTCCCATCCATGCAAGACCTCACCTTCTCCCCGGAGCCGCGGAGGCTGCTCTGCTAAACTGTCCGGACCACAACGACCCTTAGGAGACCGGGTCGCTTACTTAATATGGCGGCCCCAGCTAACTCTGTCAGCCTGGCCTGGAGAACGGAAAGCCCGGAGGGACTAGAAGCCTCGCATTCGACAAGTCTGTCGGCGATTTCCGTCAGCCGACCAGAGGGTGGAGCGGAGGTCGGCCCAGCGGGGAGGCGGAAAGCGCAACTTGGCCCCGCAGTTCCGCCGGAAGTGGCCTGTAGCCCCGAGGCCGAGCGTCTTTGGTCATCTCCGGCGCTTCAAGGGGCGGTTCCCGTTATCTTACGGAGCCGTGGAGGTACGAATTTAAGACATGCCCGTTTTATTAATTTATTTCCAAACGCAACGAAGGGTCCAGGGACAATTTGTGGGCCCCTTAATTCAGGGCCCCCAATTCGTACGTGGAGAAGTGAGAATGTTAACGTACTTTGACCTTTAACCTTTGGTCGGGCGCGGTGGAGGGAAACGCCTCCGTCTCTATATAAGGAATTTTCCGGCTTTTCCGGGCCCTTTTTTTTCTTTGAGCGTGGGGCGCCGTTAGCGTACGCTCTCTTTCTGCTGCTCCCCAGCTCTCGGATACAGCAGACGTCATGGGTTTCGGAGACCTGAAAAGCCCCGCCGGCCTCCAGGTGCTCAACGACTACCTGGCGGACAAGAGCTACATCGAGGGGTGAGCGGACGGGCCGAGACGGGATGGTGGGGAGGCTTGCAGGGGCCGGGGCCACGTGGCGCAGCGTCGGCTGCCCCGGGAGGGAGGGAGGTTGAGGGGTTAGCGCCTTCGGTTGCCATCTCCCAAGGCCCGCGTGTGGTGCGAGCCCGGGCTCCGGGGAGCGGTTCATTAGCTGTAAAAGGTTGAAATGTGCTTTATTTACAGTTAATTCAGCCGGGTGTCGCCGCGTCGCTGCCCAGTTAATAAAATGGTGGGCTGTAGATAGAGCAATGCTAGAGATTGCAATCGTTGAGGTCTACTAAGTGGCAAGACATTTCTCAGGATAACGTGGCGACCCAAGCATGGTTTGATTTTAAGTAGCTAAGAAAAAAAAAGCATTAAAGCACCCCTGCCGGGGCTAGTGCCCACTAATTAATGTGATGCAAACAGCATTATTTTCGCTGGCGTTTGTCTTTCAAAGGTGTGTATGAACGTTTCTGTGTCATTGGCAGGTATGTGCCATCACAAGCAGATGTGGCAGTATTTGAAGCAGTGTCCAGCCCACCGCCTGCCGACTTGTGTCATGCCCTACGTTGGTATAATCACATCAAGTCTTATGAAAAGGAAAAGGCCAGGTAAAATCATCTTTGTGTCTAGCTGAGCAATAAGACTGCTCTCGAAGTTAATCAGGATGTTCACATGACAAAACTGGACCCAGGCTACTTTAGCTTTGTTGGGATATTGTAAGCTAAACTTTTCAGTAACCTTGGAAGGCCAAGAGACTGAAGTCCTCCATTTTTTCACAGAACAGGTAGAACATGGACAACAGCAGTTCAACTTTTCCCCACACTGCCCTGGCAATGTGCCTCGACCCTGACCTGGGGGGCCCACCTCTGGGGTGAGAGGGTGGCTCATTCATTCAGTCCTTGGCTTTTCTTCTGAAACTGCCAACAAGGGTGGAAGTTTGGGGAAGTGGACTCCATTTCACTAAGAATGGAACTGAGCATACTTAATGAAATTTCAAACAGAAATGTGCATACTGAAAGTAAATCATAGTAAGTACTGAAAATACTGTCTCACATGGGACTAATGTTTGTCGGGTGACCAGTTGAACATAGGACAGTGTTTACCGGGGAGTATGTGAAAGGGTAAATTATTGCAAAAGGGATCTAGTGATAGTGATTGAAACAGTTATTTTGTATTGTCTGGAAAAGGATGTTATACTAGCTCAATAGCGGTTGAATTTAAATGTTTTTCAAGCCTGCCAGGAGTGAAGAAAGCTTTGGGCAAGTATGGTCCTGTGGATGTGGAAGACACTACAGGAAGTGGAGCTACAGATAGTAAAGATGATGATGACATTGATCTCTTCGGATCTGATGATGAGGAGGTATGGCATCTTCTATAAAGAATACATCGATGGCTGGGCGCGGTGGCTCAAGCCTGTAATCCCAGCACTTTGGAAGGCTGAGGCGGGTGGATCACGAGGTCAAGAGATCGAGACCATCCTGGTCAACACGGTGAAACCCCGTCTCTACTAAAACTACAAAAAATTAGCTGGGCATGGTGGCGCGTGCCTGTAATCCCAGCGACTCAGGAGGCTGAGGCAGGAGAATTGCCTGAACCCAGGAGGCGGAGGTTGCGGTGAGCCGGGATCGCGCCATTGCACTCCAGCCTGGGTAACAAGAGCGAAACTCCGTCCCAAAAAAAAAAAAAAAAAATACATCGGCTGGGCGCAGTAGCTCACGCCTGTAATCCCAGCAATTTGGGAGTCTGAGGTGGGTGGGTCATGAGGTCAGGAGTTCAAGAACAGCCTGGCCAAGTTGGTGAAACCTTATCTCTACTAAAAATACAAAAAAAATTAGCCAGGTGTGGTGGCAGGCGCCTGTAATCCCATCTGAGGCAGAAAATTACTTGAACCCGGAAGGCAGAGGTTGCAAGGAGCTATGATCACGCTCCAGCCTGGGCAACAGAGCAAGACTCCATCTCAAACACACACGCACATGCACACGCACACACACACGCACACACACGCGCTGATCGGCAATTTATCATTGTGGATAAACCAAATTGCCTGGATTTGAATCCTGGTTTTGATTTATATGCCTTTCTCAATTCTGACTGGTTGCATGATGAATAAAATCAAATCACCATCTTTCGGCTGAGTTCGTGATGTATTTGTTTTTTTCTGATAAGGCCAGTCATTTTTGTGATGACCCCACTAGCTTTAAGCAGAGGAACAACTGGCTTTCTGAAAAATTGGATTAATTTTTTTTTCTTTACAGGAAAGTGAAGAAGCGAAGAGGCTAAGGGAAGAACGTCTTGCACAATATGAATCAAAGAAAGCCAAAAGTAGGTCATTTGTTTTTAACTTCATAATAATGTAAGTAATGTTTTTCATAGTTGTCCTTGAAGTAATTTCCTTCACATTCCTTGAATAGGTTAATATTTTAAAACCTGTAGGGGTTCTTCCACAGCTACTGGTCTGCAGCTGTTCTTACGGTAGCAGTTGTGGCATTCCTCTGTGGGAAAGAAACTGTTAACACAATTAAACACCTCTTTCTTAACAAAACAGAAAGTGGGCATATGTGTGACAGACACAAGATGTATCGGTAGTTTTGACAAAGGAGATAGTCACTCAAAACAAATTGAGATGATTTGTTTGTGTCTTAGAGTAGGGTGAAAAAAATGTAATTCGTTATTTGAATAATGCTGTTTATGTTTTTTAGAACCTGCACTTGTTGCCAAGTCTTCCATCTTACTGGATGTGAAACCTTGGGATGATGAGACAGATATGGCAAAATTAGAGGAGTGTGTCAGAAGCATTCAAGCAGACGGCTTAGTCTGGGGCTCATGTGAGTTTAGGCATTGCTTTTTTTTTTAACTGACATCTGGAATTTTCATACAGCTTCAATTCTTTCTCTACAGGACTTTTCTAACTAAGATTTTTTTTAATGCTCTTTTTAGCTAAACTAGTTCCAGTGGGATATGGAATTAAGAAACTTCAAATACAATGTGTAGTTGAAGATGATAAAGTTGGAACAGATATGCTGGAGGAACAGATCACTGCTTTTGAGGACTATGTCCAGTCCATGGACGTGGCTGCTTTCAACAAGATCTAAAATCCATCCTGGATCATGGCATTTAAATAAAAGCTTGAAAGATTACCTGTGGCTTTTGAGTATGTTACATAGAGGGGTGGTGTGTATATTCCTTTCATTTTGAGGGAAGGAATTAAATGAAAACATGATTCCTAAATAATAAAAATTTGGTTCAGCATTGTTGTTAAAAAATGGTAGTGCAGGCTGGGCGCAGGGTTTATGCCTGTAATCCCAGCACTTTGGGAGGCTGAAGTAGGTGGGTCGATACCAGCCTGGGCAATATGGAGAGACTCCGACCCTACAAAAAATAGAAAACATAGCTGAGCATGGTGGTGCACCCACCACTGTATTCCCAGCTATTTGGGAGCTTGAGGTAGGAGGATTGCTGGAGCCCAGGAGGTTGAAGCTGCAGTGAGGTGAGGTTGTGCCACTACTCCAGCCTGGGTGCCAGAGCAAGGGCCTGTCTCAAAAAAAAAAATTGTAGTGCAACTTTACCCACTTGTGATGTCCTTAGCAATGCCTGATGACGTGATTTATTGTAACCCAGCATCTTCGCATTGGGATCAGTTGTTGGCTGGAAAGCAATAATTGCAAATCTCACTTGAAGATGTGAGATGTGTGACACTGCTAGAAGACACCTAACCCAGAGGAGGGAGGGCTTCTCAGAATTCGGCATGAATTAAACAACTACTTAAAGTTTACAAATTTAAGATAATGACTCATGTTGTAAAGAAACCATCTTTGAAGTGTTGGGAATGTGATTTGGAGTAGCACTGTGTCCTGGGAGGGGATTATGTAGGTAGCTGGTTCCCAAGCTTCCCAGATAAACTTGACTTTCCTGTGATAATTCATAGCTGCTTGATTGTGGGAGTGGAGTATTTTACTTGGATTTGGAAATCTGATTGGTCCTCATGCTGCAGGTAAATACTGGGATGAGGGTAGTATGTTGAGTAAAGTGATAAGCATTGGAAACAGCTTCATTTTGACAGTGAATTTGGAGTCTGGCTAATGTTTGATAGGGCTTTTTTTTACAGTAGTTTTATAAAACTAGTGCTTGGGAATTGCTGATCTCAAATGATCAAAAATTTTTAGGTCAATTTTTAAATAGATCTAGACAGTGCTGGCCCAGTGTGGTGGCTCACACCTGTAATCCCAGCAGTTTGGGAGGCCGAGGTGGGCGGATCACAAGGTCAGGAGTTGAGAGATCAGCCTGGCCAACATTGCAAAACCCCGTCTCTACTAAAAATAAAAAAATTAGCTGGGTGTGGTGGTGGGCACCTGTAATCCCAGCTACTCTGGAGGCTGAGGCTGGAGAATTGCTTGAACCCAGGAAGTAGAGGTTGCAGTGAGCCAAGATTGCAGCCACTGTACTCCAGCCTGGGTGACAGGGCGAGACTCAGTCTAAAAAAAAGAACTAGACAATGCTGTTTCCTCTCAATCTGATATTATGTTATAACTGCCTTGACTGTGGGAAACTTTATTATAAAGAGGATTTAACAGATACATGCATTGAATAATATCTCTAAGCAATGTTTATAGTCCAACCAACACAGCCTAAAAGTCATGGGAGGCCAGGTGCAGTGGCTCACACCTGTAATCCCAGCGCTTTGGGAGGCTGAGGCTTGCAGACCACCCGAGATTGCGAGTTCGAGACCAGCCTGACCAACACAGTGAAACCCTTTCTACTAAAAATACAAAATTAGCCGGGTGTGGTGGCACATGCCTATAATCACAGCTACTTGGGAGGCTGAGGCAGGAGAATCGCTTGAACCTGGGAGGTGGAGGTTGCAGTGAGCTAAGATGGTGCCATTGCACTCCAGCCTGGGCATCAAGAACTAAACTTCGTCTCAAAAAAAAAAAAAGTCATGGGAGACATTTTCAGGTTGTCGTTATCATGAACGCCAGCAGAGGGCAGCACTTCATCTTCTGGAAAACCAGAGCCTGGGAATTCTGAAAATACACACACACACACACACACACACCCCAAACCATAAATAAACTTAATGGTAAAAATTCGCAATTATTCACATAGTAAAGGGATTGAGTTCCAAATAGCTTGACCAAAATGTTAAGTATCAGCAGATGTTTTCCTCTCAGTCTGATTTTATGTTGTGTCTGCCTTGACTGTGGGAAATTATATTATAGAGAGGATTTCTTTAACAGATATATGCTTGGATTAATATCTCTAAGCAATGTTTATAGTCTAACGCAGCCTGCAAGTCATGAGAGACATTTTCAGGTTGTCATCATGAGAGCCAGCAGAGGGCAGCACTTCATTTTCTGGAAAAGCAAAGAGCCTGAGAATTATGAAAATGCTGGAAAAAAAAAAAAAAAAAAAAACCAAACACCCCAAAACCACAAATAAACTTAATGAATGGTAATAAAAATCCGCAATTATTCACATAGTAAAGGAGTTGAGTTCCAAATAGCTTGACCAAAATGTTAAGTATCAGCAGGAGTCAATGACGAAAAAACTAACAATAATTTGTTTAGGCTGGGTGTGGTGGCTCACGCCTGTAATCTCAGTACTTTGGGAGGCCAAGGTGGGTGCATCACGAGGTCGAGTTCAAGACCAGCCTGGCCAACATGGTGAAACCTTGTCTCTATGAAAAATACAAAAATTAGCCAGGTGTGGTGGCAGGCACCTATAATCCCAGCTACTCTGGAGGCTGAGGCAGGAGAATTGCTTGAACCCAGGAGGTAGAGGTTGCAGTGAGCTGGGATTGCACCACTGCACTCCAGCCTGGGCGTCAAGAGTGAAACTCCCTCTCAAAAAAACAAAACAAAACCAAAAACAACAACAAACCCAGCTAGTATATATATCAAATATTTATAGAGCTGAAACACTGTTTTAAATGCTCTACCTGCATTACTCATTTAATTTTTATAGCAACCTATCCTCATTTTCCAGATCAGGAAAACAGAGGTCTGGAACTTGGAATTAATTTAGCCAAGGTCACAGGACTAGAATGTGTTTAGGTCATAACTCAAATCCAGCGATCCTGCCTCTGTGGCCCTGGGACTCACCTTCTGTTTCAAAGTACTTCCTTTCATTGAGAGGGAGGCAACTCTGTCCATCAGTTCTATACCCCAGTAGAAAATATGCCTCACCTTCAGGCCCTCTGTTCTATGCACAGTCAGCCATCCTGTTCTTGGTCATTAGCTCTCTGATGATCCCTTTTCCTCCCTCACCAACCTGATTCCAACCTCCAGGGAGGAGGCTTGGAGTCCCCAAGCCCATATCCAAGCTTGGAGTTTTATATTACCCTTTGGATCTTTCCTCAAACAGAATTTGAAAAATTAACTGCTGTTTCTGCTGAGAAGTGCCTACACTGTTTGCTACTTTCTACTGGTAGATTCCTGTTATTTCTTGTGCAAGTCTAGGCCTCAGGCTTGTGATGGAAGGTGCTGCTATGAAGACCTCTGATGTGCCTTGGAGACACTTTCCCCTTGTCTTGGTGACTAACATTCAGCTCCCCATTACTTATGCAAATTTCTGCAGCTGGCTTGAATTTCTCCTCAGAAAATGGAATTTTCTTTTTTATCACATTGTCAGGTTGCAAATTTTCCAAACTTTCATGCTCTGCTTCCCTTATAAAACTGAATGCCTTTAACAGCACCCAAGTCACCTCTTGAATGCTTTGCTGCTTAGAAATTTATTCCACCAGGTACCCTAAATCAATATTCCAGGAGATACCCTACCATGACTGGCTATCACAAGAACAGCACAAGAAAGACCTGCTCCCATGATTCAGTTACCTCCTACCCTGTCCCTCCCATGTGGAAATTCAAGATGAGATTTGAGTGGGTACACAGCCAAACCATATCATGGCAGAAGAAATTTCTAAGCAGCAAAGCATTCAAGGGGTGACTTGGGTGCTGTTAAAGGCAGTTTTATAAGGGAAGCAGAGCATAAAAGTTTGGAAAATTTGCAGCCTGACAGGGTGATAGAAAAGAAAAATCTCATTTTCTGAGGAGAAATCCAAGCTGGTTGCAGAAATTTGCATAAGTAATGAGGAATTGAATGTTAATCACCAAGACAATGGAGAAAATATCTCCAGGTTGTGTCAGACACCTTTGCAGCAGCCCTTCCCATCACAGGCCCAGAGGCCTAGGTGGAAAAAGTGGTTTTCTGGGCTGGGCCCAGGGTCTCCATGCTGTGTGCAGCGTAGGGACTTGGTGCCTGTGTACCAGCCACTCCAGCCATGGCTGAAAGGGGACAAAGTAGAGCTCAGGCCATGGCTTCAGAGGGTTCAAGCCTGAAGCCTTGGCAGCTTCCACATGGTGTTGAGCCTGCAAGTGCACAGACATCAAGAATTAAAGTTTGGGAACCTCTGCCTAGATTTCAGATGTATGGAAAAACCTGGATGCCCAGGTGGAGGGCCAGGGTCCTCATGGAGAACCTGTGCCAGGGCAGTGCAGAAGGGAAATGTGGGGTGGGAGCCCCCACACAGAGTTTCTACTGGGGCACTGCTTACTGCATCCTCTAGACCCCAGAATGGTAGATCCATTAACAGCTTACACCATGTGCCTGGAAAATATTCAGATAATGCCAGCTTGCCAAGGCAGCCAGGAGGGATCATACTACCTGACTTCAAATTTTTGTATTTTTAGTAGAGTCAGGGTTTCCCCATGTTGGTCAGGCTGGCCTTGAGCTCCCGATCTCAGGTGATCCACCTGCCTTGGCCTCCCAAAGTGCTGGGATTACAGGCGTGAGCCACTGTACTTGGCCTGGACTGTGTACTTTTGAGTTAATGCTGAAATGAGTTGAGACTTTGGGGGACTGTTTGGAAGGCATGATTCGATTTAAAATGTGAGGACACGGCCGGGCGCGGTGGCTCAAGCCTGTAATCCCAGCACTTTGGGAGGCAGAGGCGGGTGGATCACGAGGTCAAGAGATCGAGACCATCCTGGTCAACATGGTGAAACCCTGTCTCTACTAAAAATACAAAAAAAAATTAGCTGGGATTACAGGCACACGCCACCATGCCCAGCTAATTTTTTTTTGTATTTTTAGTAGAGACAGGGTTTCACCA